GCATTTCAGTTAATCTTTAAGTTATCCTCTTCAAACTTTGTGTTTGAAGAACAAACCCACTGGCATACACTAATTGGAAGCTTCCTCGATTCTAGGCATCTTTCATCGTCTAGGTTCTTTGACGTTCCGAAACTTTGAAGATATTTTATTCAGCAGCATTTTGGCCCACATTTGGGCAGCCTCAGACGTAAATCGCTCAGCCTAGATCAGCCAGTCAATATTCTATCCATTTTTACTTCCTAGGATTGTTCTAAGTGAATTCCTATTCCGCAGATACCTTCTTCAAACATAAAGATAGATTATCTAAATACTGCCAATCCAATGTCGTACACGGGTTTTGTTGCGCCTCCTGTGGGGCATCGTACATGGGTTCCACCTTTGAGAACTTAAACAGTCGTATTCAGCGGCGTTTGGGTACATCTATCCCAACGGGAAAAAATAACGCAAAACCTGATCCCTCCCCATAAGAGAGCGTTCATTTATATGTGACACCACAGTCTTGGCTTCCAATCTTAGAGTGCGCCCGGGTGGGGGTCAATTTGATCCCTGATCAATTTTTTTCCGTAATGGTTTCCAAAACGCGGCGTAGCCGCGCCAAATTTTGCAGGTCTAAGGTAGGTCTACGGCAGGTCAGGATCAGACCATGGATTCCGCAAAGTCAGTTTCTAGGGAATCGTTCAATCTGATGCAGCAACTGAGTTTCAGACGAAGGCATGCATCTGAGATACTTTATTAGGCGACACAACAATGGAATGAGCAAATTCCATTGATCTAGGGTAAGGTATGAAGATAAGACCAAGGTCAAAACCGACCTGTTTTATTACTCTAGGGTTTGCTGTATGAGGTAGTTTCTGGTGCTCATTTCGAATTTATTGATAACAGGAACCGCATTATACATATTCCATGGACTTCCTAACGGTCAGAATAGGTCACCAACCTAAAATGACCCAGATCAACATTTCGTTTCTAAGAACACACTGCTTAGCGTAATCTTTGTCGCTTATTCAAATGCAAAGTTCAATGCAGTATTCCATGACTTTGAAAACCATGAACTTCAAAAAGTCAAACAAGGTCACTGACCTTAAATGAGCATGTTAAATTTTGCTTAGAGCGGGTTTCTAGGCTTTGGGGCACTTTGGAGACCAACCTAGAGCTTTACCTTGTTTAAAAAATTTTAATTTCTTTAAAATTTATTTGAACTGAAGTTCATGACCTAGGAACCTCAAACTTTGACCATAGTGAGTTCACGTACAGGCCAATACAGCCCATGAATTTGGTGTTTCTAGCTCCCTTAGTTCCCGAGATCTCAGGGGAGGGTCAAAAGTACCCCCACCCGAGCGAAGGGTATTTAACCGGCCAGCGGGCGCGCGCTAGTATCTTGAGCAGGAGATACTCCTCGCTTGCTTCGCAGACCCTAAAGTCTTGTTAGATTTGTTAGAAACGTCCAGAGCTGGATACCAGGCCTTCAATCATACCTACTAGAAATTGTGATATTATGATATATACACACACACACACACACACACACATTATATATATATATATATATATATATATATATATATATATATATATATATGTGCGTGCGTGCGTGCGTGCGTGCGTGCGTGCGTGCGTGCGTGCGTGCGTGCGTGCGTGCGTGCGTGCGTGCGTGCGTGCGTGCGTGTGTGTGTGTGTGTGTGTGTGTGTGTGTGTGTGTGTGTGTGTGTGTGTGTGTGTGTGTGTGTGTGTGTGTGTGTGTGTGTGTGTGTATCATGAGATATAGCAAAGTAAAAGGTATTCATCCTCCGAACGCCTTGGTCGTTGAACGTAAAAGGTGGATTCATTTCATTATGATTCGTCTGGATTTTACCTGCCCGCGGTCGACATATGCGCACAATGTGCTGTGGGATCACACCGCTTACACATCCAGAAGATTGTACGAGGCTTGTAAATCAGCTTGTTTGGATACAAAATGTGTTCTTCAAAGAAATTAAATCTACTGATTTAAATTACATTCATTACGAATGTTTTATTGATCCATCGGCAGCCTGCCCTTTACCCGGCGCATTGTGATGTTCGCCGACAAGTGACACGCTTCTCTTGCGCTCACCTGGCATTCCTTTCATGCGGCCCGGCTCAGACCAGCTGCCATGTTCTCGTGTTCGCAGCACGCGTCATATAGCGAGACAAGTGTCAAGTGCCACCAAACAGGTGTCAGTGAATGAGCACAGATGGTGGCACGTGTGACGGCCCTCTGATTGTGCCGCCCGGTTCAGCCGGCGTCACACTGCGAGCGGTCAGGTGGTGTGCGGTACCGCCCAGCTCCCCCCCCCCCCCCCCCACCCCGCTGTCCGCCGTCCGCCGTCCGCCACGGACGGGTGGCACGTGAGTGATGGCCAGGTGGCGCACGACACCTCGCCGCCCGCCCTGGCTGCTGCGGCCGATGAGTCGGCTCAGCGTGGCCGGCGCCGCCCCAGGCCGCGCCGTCACCGCGGGCGCCCTGCACCTCAGCCGAGCCCGCCGTGTCGAGCGCCCTGCGCCTCATCCGAGCCCGCCGTGTCGAGCGCCCTGCACCTCAGCCGAGCCCGCCGTGTCGAGCGCCCTGCACCTCAGCCGAGCCCGCCGTGTCGAGCGCCCTGCACCTCAGCCGCGCCGTGTCGAGCGCCCTGCACCTCAGCCGAGCCCGCCGTGTCGAGCGCCCTGCACCTCAGCCGAGCCCGCCGTGTCGAGCGCCCTGCACCTCAGCCGAGCCCGCCGTGTCGAGCGCCGGTCGGGCTAGGCGGCTAAACGGCGCTTCAGCCCGGCCAGACACGGGTCGGAGGCGCTCTCAAGCCACAACACCAGCACCGTCACGGGTCGGAGGCGCTCTCAAGCCACAACACCAGCACCGTCACGGGTCGGAGGCGCTCTCAAGCCACAACACCAGCACCGTCACGGGCCGGAGGCGCTCTCAAGCCACAACACCAGCACCGTCACGGGTCGGAGGCGCTCTCAAGCCACAACACCAGCACCGTCACGGGCCGGAGGCGCTCTCAAGCCACAACACCAGCACCGTCACGGGTCGGAGGCGCTCTCAAGCCACAACACCAGCACCGTCTCTCTGGTCCGCGGCTACAACCGCCATACATACGGTCGCAGCGGTGCATTACAGCCACGTGTCGGGTCAAAGCTACACTACCATCGTGCGTCGGGTCAGAAGTACACGGCCACCGCATGTCGGGTCAAAGCTGCACGACCACCGCATACCGGGTCAGAGGTACACTGCCGCCGTGTGTCGGGTCAGAGGTACACGGCCGCCGCATGTCGGGTCCGAGGTACATTGCCACCGTGTGTCGGGTCAGAGGTACACGACCACCGCATGTGGGGCCAAAGCTACACGACCACCGCATGTCGGGTCCGAGGTACATTGCCACCGTGTGTCGGGTCAGAGGTACACTGTCACCGTGTGTCGTGTCAGAGGTACACGATCGCCGCGTGTCGGGTAAGAGGTGTACGATCAGCCGCGTGTTGGGTCAGAGCTACACGGCCACTGCGTGTCGGGTCAGAGCTACACGACCACCGTGTGTGAGGTCAGAGGTACATGACCACCGTGTGTCGGGTCAGAGGTACACGACCACCACGTGTCGGGTCAGAGGTACACGACCACCACGTGTCGGGTCAGAGGTACACGACCACCACGTGTCGGGTCAGAGGTATACGGCCACCACGTGTCGGGTCAGAGGTGCACGATCGCCGCGTGTCGGGTCAGAGCTACACGGCCACCGTGTGTCGGGTCAGAGGTATACGACCACCACGTGTCGGGTCAGAGCTACACAACCACCGCGTGTCGGGTCAGATCTATACTGCCAATGCGTGCGTGTGAAGCCACAGTCTGGCCACGAGGTTAATTCCACTAGGCATGCCTGACCGCGGTCAATTACGCACAGGGTGACTGGTCACAGTCCGCCAGCGGCAAAGTGCCTCCGGCCTCATTTTGCTAGCTCGTTTCCCCAACTGGCCGGCGGAAAGGCGGCTATCTCAGCCGTGTCGGCACGTGCTACGCCAAATGTGCTTTTCTTCCGCCTCTGAGATAGGCCATTTGCATCAGAAGACCATGTATCAGTCGTCCAAAGACAGCTAAAAAATAGTCAGACCGTTTCGGTGACAGTTAAGTCCTCAGCTCGCCGCACAGTGTATATGCCATGGTGCAATACGCTGTACGAAAAAGCGGTTTGTGACCTTGAGCCTCTCAGGTGTATCGGATATATCTTACCGGGTTTTTGAAACATCGGAGTGACACCTGGCTATTCGGATGAGCTTGGGACCATTGTGCGCGTGATATGCACGTTCCAAGTTCCTACGAAGTTCAGTCGCTAAAAAGTGACGTCACTCTCGACGGTCTACGCTGCCAAATCGCGAAATTTCGGCGTTCCGCATGTTCTCAGCTCTGCATTCACCGTATTCTGTTGTCTTATGGCTCTGAGAATGCTGAGTGGCTGTGTAATGAACATCAACAATGCATTTGCACCCTTTCAAAAGGCAGTAGTATCTCACCACTACTTGTGACCATTACAAAAGTTATTCCACACGATCTTCAATTCAAAATCTCGAAATCCCTATCAGGTAACAAGCTTGAGGTTTCCGTGAATTTAGTCGACCGCAACCGTTACATTGTGAACTAAAATGATTGGCATGGAGGAATAGTGCCCAAGGCGTCATTATTTGCTGAGGTTATAGCGAACGTGTGCAAAACTACGCAGCAGGGGTAAAAATGCCAGCTGATCCCGTTTCAACCGACGTAAAACTTTGTTCAGCCATTGGCGGAGAAAAGGCCAAGCATTGGTGGCGAATGCACAACAAATAATTACGAACGCAAAAACCGACCAGGCTGACGCGGTTTGAAACGGGAATGGATGTTATATTTGATGAGTGCCGGAAGTGCCCGGAGTGCGGAGAGTGCCAAGGGTACCATGGGATATATGGTGCAGTGCCAGGTCATCTACCGCCATCAGCTCCACGCGGCCGGCTTAGCTACTCACCTTCGAGTAGGCGTAGTTGCCCACGATGCGTTTGTCGCGCCTGCTGTCGGTGTTGATGACGTCATACTCGGCATTGATGCGGTCGCCGTTGTCGTCGAACGCCACCTTGCCTGTGTAGCCGTCGAGGAGCACCTGCTGGCGGATGTACCTGTGGCCGTCGACACGTCACTCAGCGTCCGGTGCAGAGCACGACAGTGGAGCGGCGCCGGTGTTGCGAGCAGTGGGCACTGCTGAGAATGCAGAGGCTGGGACGAGAGCGGCACCAAATCTCGAAGAAGAGGATATGGCAATGTAGTATCGTGATTGAAAACTTCTTTGTGGTTTCGAAGTGGGATGAAGGAGTTCCGAACGGAAAAATGCCCAAAACTAACAGCAGCATGAGAATCGGGGCTGTGGAAAAGGCAATCACAATATTGGTGACTCGCTCCAGTGATACACAGCAACCATTAGGTGCCTGGAAGTGGTGCCGCTTCACGTAACTGAGCCACAGCATGCTATGCCCATAACGTGACAGAATCATGGGTACAATCCATGCATGAGTGGGAGCCAGAAAAGTAAAACGGCCGACCGGATAACCTTTGGCATGCCACTTCGCTTCAACGGCATTGGCTTGGTCCCGAACTCCCCTTGCCATCTGTCTATTCAACTTTTGCACTGATAGCACGTAATGACACATAACTTGACAAGATGTTAACATTAGTTTCATTGAACAAATACGGTCTCCATAAACATCGCAAAGACGGCAATACTCAGTGTGTTGCCCGTAACCAGACATCAACACAAAGTTCATCACCACTGCATGAGAGCAATGACAGTTCGCATTGCTAATCTGCCACTGAACGGGCCGGTGTCACACATTGCTAATCTGCCACTGAACGGGCCGGTGTCACACATCCCCTTCCCACGAGCCAGCTGCTTTGTAAGGACCGATGCCTCGTTTTCGTCCCCGTCCCCGGCTGGCCCGGGAGGCAGACGAGGTGCCGTTGTGAAAGGCTGCCCAGCTGCACCGCCCTGTTCACCCCTGGACTGGGGAGATGCAGACTCACCCGAACAGCTTTTTGCCGGTCTCCCAGCCGTCACCGGTGTTGTTACAGTCCTTGGGCGCCTCGGTAATGTTCTCCTTGGCGGTCATCTCTTTCAAGGCGGATGCCAGCACGTACCTGAACAACAGACCAGCTCAGCCCAACTCGACTCAGCAGCGGAAAGGCATACCACGCTAGCTTGCTCTGTTTGCATACGGAAGCAATCGCTGTTCATCATAACAGCACACGGATGTCTCATCTCAGCCCAGCGTAACAATACGGAAACATAACTACTTCGCCAGCAACAGAATTACCCGGGCACCTTCCCCCAACTCCGCAACACTTCGGTACTCCCGCCCCGCTCATCTCAGAAGAGCGAGGACAACTCTATTCGGCTCAGCCCATGGCGCAGAGCAGCTGGCTGGCTCAGAGCAGCTGATAGACGCTAACAGGCACACCTCAGCCCAGCTCAGGCCGGCTCTGACCGCAGCCCACAGCGCGGCAGCTGCTCAGATGGCGCGGCCCGTCGGTGCCTGCGCCCCCCCCCCCCCCCCCGCTGCCGGGCGCGTTGTTAGCGCCAGTCGCAGGTGGCGGCCCATCATTACCACCCCACGCATGCACAGCCGGATCAATAGCGGCACGTGCTCATCATCTGACGCCGCAGGGTCCGGACGCCGGATGAGCGGGTCGGCCCGGGCTCCAGCCCGACTCGCTGCTCCCCCCCCCCCCCCCCCCGCCATCCCGCCGGCAGCCTCTTCCGCGCCTCCGCACCGCTAGTAGCCCCCTCTCACCTCCCCACCATCTGCAGTCTCATCTGTGCCTCCCTGCTGTCAGCAGGCTCCTCCGCGCTTCCGCACCGCCAGCAGCGTCCCCCTTGCTCTCCCGCCACCACCACCAGCATTCTCCACCCTTCCAGCACCAGCAGCCTCCTCTGCGTCTTCCACCACCAACAGTCTCCCCTCGCCTTCCCACCACCACCAGCAGCCTCCCCTTACCTTCCCACCACCACCAGCAGCCTCCCATCGCCTTCCCGCCACCACCAACAGCCTCCTCTGCGCCTCCCTGCCGCCAGCAGCCTCCACCGCGCTCGTGCAGCGTTGCCTTCTCCCCTCCCCTCTACTGCACTAGCCTCACTCATGCCGCACGAGCTGCTGTCCGCTGCCCTCCTCTCCGCTGCCAGCAGAATCGGCGCGCCGCTGGCCAGGCCATATTTTCTCGGCCTCGCCACAGTTGTCGGGGGTGGGTTAGATCGCTCCCTTCGGCCTTCTCTTTTATGCAGACCCTTGGTACTGGTTAGAGTCGGTCGTAAGTTCCCGCTTCATTCGTACAACAATAGGAATATTTGAATGGGGCACGTCAGCTGGGCACCATTCAGCGATCCCGAAATTCAGGCAAGTGATGTCATGCTTTGGCCTGCAGGATCAGTGGCCTGAATGTTTAACCAACAAGCGCTCTGAAGGCAATGACGGGGCATTTCCAAAAGCGCTCGATGGCGATTCGAGGCGCCACCAAGATTTGACCACGACACATTGGTCTCCTTAGATCATCCAGCTGGTGACCATCTGCTGCCTCGACATTGCCCCCGCCGCTGGGCGATGAGAATTCCGTCGACGAGCCGGTATCGGCTGCGCCAGACAGATGCGGTGGCCGTAACACATGGCCCGTCAGGCCAATGGATCTCTGTCCCAAGCGTGCAATCAGAGGCCAAACGATCGCTACGGCTGACACCAGGCATGGGAAGCGCCGCCAGCCGCCTACCGGCCCATTGTTGAAAGGCAATAGAAAATCGAGCCATTCGCCATAGCAATATCTGAACCCTGGCCAGGATTAAGGTGTAGCGGCCTCCCCTCCGGTGTTTGGAATGTATTTCCTGAATCGCTCAACAGCTTGTCGTGACATTTGGACTACTTACACGGGATCTTTTCACCTGAAGATACCGGTTCGATTTCCGGTTCCTTCAGTCATCGAAATATGACCCCTTTCCTTTAATTCTCACCTGTAGTCTTATATTATGCATATGTATAACACATATTGCCACAAATTTGCAATACATTTGCAAGAGGTAACTCTCACTTTGATAGGCAGGGCAATGACGGCCTAAATTTTGCCTCGCAACCAAAGTGTGCTGATCGTAACATGCCGAAACGCCTGTCCACGGCGCAAAGCTTTGTCTTACGTCTTATGTAAACAGACATGCTTTTAGCCGATGGGCCAGGGTATCGCAACTTAGCCATCAGCCAGAGCCATGGAGTCGCCAGTGTGCGCCGAGGACGCGATGGAGGACGACTGGGGACAGTTATCAACCAACTCTTAAATTGGGTCCGAAGATGATAATTTACGCCAAACACCTGTTAGACGATCAGGCTGGGCAGGCTGATTGATCTCCGGGAGACATCACTAGAAGCGATGAGGTCAACAACCGCTGTGCATTGACATCCATAATGGCCGACGTCAAAGCGTCGCCAACTAGCCGTCGGAGAGAATGATCGCACAACCGGAGAAATGGGTTTTCTGAAAGGGATCAAAAGTCAACAAAATGCGCAACCGTGCTGCACGACAAATTTTGAATTCGACGTCAGTTAACTCACAGGACTTATATAACGTAAAACCAAATGTTTCAATGATGGTGATGGTGATGATGATGGCTAAGAAGTTCAAGGTCACCTGTGATAAGGCACTGCAAATCTTTCAGTGTAGTCCGGGTATACCATAGGTGGCTTCACATGTCATTGCATTAACACTGGCAGCAAATATGAATTGCTTGAAAGAGGTGTTCTCTGTGGGTAAATGAAAAGCTACGCAGACGTGGTGAATGTGATGTGGCCTCCTTTAACCGAACCTGGTAAGCAAGCCGTAAGATAAGCTTAACATCACTTCAGAATAAGTTGAACATTTCGCAAAAGAGAAAAGTTCCATGCTTGTTTTTGCTTTTTATCAAACAGATCGCGATGGAATCGGCAGAAATCGGCGGAAATCATGCCACACCGACCCCTTCCCACACACACGGATTACACTGCACAAACAGGCGAAACTGCTGAAAGCGTTGGGGTCGTGAAACAGATGCACACCTTTTAAATATTGATATAAAATTGCAGCTTGTAAACTGATGCTTCTCTCGCATCTCTTTCTCTCTTATTTGAAGTGGGGTTGTAAACTGTCTTACTTTCCTGGTTCATGCTTTACAATGTTACGTTTGAAACCTGTTGCTTTGTCTGATGCTTTACTCGCTTATGTTCTCTTTCAGATCAGCTTGTTGGTTATCTATTTGTCTCCATATCCACACCCAATCTTTTTCACTTCATTGGCGCCGTTTCTGGGATCGTTTGCTCATTTCCGCCCCATTTCCCCTGCGGGTATCGGCGTTCCAGCTCAGTGAAGTTGAGTCATCTGTCGTCTCACGCGATCCCGTCCCGCAGACCCTGTTACTTTCTTCATCGCGCCTCAATGGAGCATGTCCTCTATTGCCGCCCCTCCATCCATCACTTCTCTTGGGCCCTCTCCCCGTCCACACTGCGTTATGAAGCGATGTGTTCCAACACAGCCGTCAGACGATTTTCTCTTACCCTTCCTATGTCTCCTTTCCTCCGATGTTCTCCCAGCTCTCAATCACGCATTATATTCCCCATTTTCCTCTTTCATTTTTCTTCATAGAGCTCCGCCAGGCGGTCTCATGCCCCATCAACTCCCTCTCCCCTCCCTCAAACCGCAGCCTCTCTCTCTCTTTCCCTCTCTCTCTCTCTCTCTCTCTCTCTCTCTCTCTCTCTCTCTCTCTCTCTCTCTCTCTCTCTCTCTCTCTCCTCTCTCTCTCTCTCTCTCTCTCTCTCTCTCTCTCTCTCTCTCTCTCTCTCTCTCTCTCTCTCTCTCTCTCTTTCTCTCTCTATCTCTCTCTTGACCCTGGCAGAGCCGGGACCCCGCTAGCGCCGGAGCACCCCTGGCCCGGCCCTCCTTAGCCCGGCCCACTCACAAGCTGTCCTTGATGTGTCTGGTCTCGTCCGAAGCGCTTAGTCGGAAGCCAAGCACGCCTGCCGGCACCGTGGGCGCCTCCAGCGCCTGCTCCGTCACGATCCACACGTAGCCCACCTCCGTCATGTTCAGGAACGCCGCGTCGTTGAAGATGATCTTGCTATCGTTCTGGCTGTGGACGCATGTGATCTCTTGGTCAGCAGTGTGGGTGGAAGCGTGGGAGGCTGCTCACTGGGCAGTAAGGAGATCGTGGGCGCCTGCTCACTGGGCAATAAGGAGACCGTCGGCTACCGCTCACAGGGTAATAAGGAGATTATGGGCGGCTGCTCACAGGGCAATAAGGGGGCTATGGGCGGCTGCTCACAGGGCAATAAGGAGATCGTAAGCGGCTGCAGTATTCGCTCATGATCGGACACTCGAAGGTAGTGGTCGGGAGGAACACTGACTGCAGACGGGGAGCGGTCTGGGAACCCATAGGCTTAGGGTCGTCCAAGCAGTCGCACCACATAGAATCGCCCCACACGGTAGTGTGAGCCGGCTCCACCCAAGCGCTCGCATCTAAGCTAGGATGTGCCTTCTTGTCACCTTTTGGCAAACATCGTCTCGTCATAATGCGCCTATCTGACCGTCAAACTTTAAAACCACCCAGAATACACAATTCGAAATGGAATGAAGAGCCTGAAGCTCCCTGAATTGTTTGTTTCGGCCAAATCAACTTACTGATTTATTCAGTTATTCTGCCTGACGCCAGCTGAGAATGACTCAGCTAGCAGGCCACGTCACTTAGTAAAGTGCAAAGCTTGCAGACCCCAAAACACCAAAACCTTATGTAAACATGAATCTTGATCTAGTGCTCTACTAGGAATTATATTTAAATGTTCAAAAGTTAAACGCGGTAAGAATATCATCACAGACGTTGGGGACAACTATGAAAGGTTAAGACAGCTTTTGTAGTTCTTGACGATATCGTAAAACGACTGTTTTAACAACTGTAAAATAACTGCGCCAGTTTTGCCGCTGCACACCGTACGTCGACGGCCCATCTGTATTCCGCTCGTGCCGGCGCCCTCTCTAGATTGGGCCCGGGTAACGCGGTCGTATTTTTCGCCTGCGGACCAGCGTTTCCGCGGAGATTCGGGATCAATGTCACACTGGCGGCCCAGCGGCCGCGGCCGGCGGCCGATTCCAACTTGTTGCCGCGCGCGAGACGGGTATCGTCGCTGTTGCCATACTGCGGTGTCGTTCAGCGCCGGCGGCGTTCGCCGTTGCTGGGAGCACTGAACAACTGCCGAAGAACTTACGCCTGAGGACGCTCCGTCAATGGGGACAGTGAGGTCACTACACCGCTCTCTGTGCTTTGAGTTGTCGTGAGGAAGGGTGCAGTCTATCCAGTTGGATAGAGTCTATCCAGTCTATCCCGTTGGATATGCAGCCAGTAGTGCAGCCAGTAGCGTCGCAGGAGGAGCCTTCGTGTGCGACGGAGTAGTGTAGTCCCTGCATTGTAGTGGGTGCAGTTTTGTGTAAACGTATAAACCTCGATCCGCCGCGCGGATGCGACTGCTTTCGGTTCGCAGGTACGTTCTGTCTGGATGATAGACTTGTGATTGATTTCCTTCTAGCATAATTCATTCCGACTCTGACTCATAACATATGTGGCTGATTCCGATCGTGTCTCTGAGCACATCATCGCAACTTTGGGCCGATTCTGATTCCGTCTGAAGAAATATGATTATGTTCTGAGACGACTTCGTCTGAGTCGATTCTGGTCATAACAAGTTAGGAAATGACGCAGTCTATGGCCCTCATAAAAGCCAAGATTAGCCTTTATTCCAACAACAATGCAATGCTGCATGACTATCTCATTCGGTGCATACGCAAGCCGCACAAATACGAAGACATCATGTCACGTTTCCACTCGGGTCAACTCCCGGGACTTCGTTGACTCGATTCCGACTCCTGCTCACGGACAGATTCAGAGGTGTTGAATTCCACCAGACTCGCCTAAATTGTGTTGACTCCGGGGTCTATCCCGAACTCATCCTGGAGTCCAGTCCAATCCCGCCGCAGGCACTATGATCACCACATGCCCACGGCCAGGGCCGTTTGTGTAAGGGACCGGGGACGTCTTCTATCCCAGGACACTGCACTGATACCAGTTGACACGTGCGCAGCATATGCTACCCGTGTGCGGAAATGGCTAGTTCTCAACACCCCGAAATAGTCAGATGCCAGAGCGCTTCCTGCACTCTAGCCCGCACAGCAGCCAGAGCGCTTCCTGCACTCTAGTCCGCACAGCAGCCAGAGCGGTGACGAGCGCGCCGCCCACGCACCGCCGTTGCCACGCAGGCACCGCGGTCTGGGCGCCGCCGGCGGCGCGGAGCCCGATGCGTACGCGGCCGCGCGCTCTGTCGGCGCCCGGCATGCCGTCACATATGCGGGCGGCGCGCCAAGCGGCGTGCGGCTGTGATGAACGGCGGCCCGCCCGCGGCGACGGCACGCGACCCCGGAGAGGCCCGGCCGACCGCGGCGCCGCCGGCGCCATATTGATCGCGCGCTCAGCCAGCACACAGAATCTGGAGACAATCAGGAGACGGCTGGCGGCCGCGCGAGGGGCAGCCACGCCCGCGCCTCATAGGCATGCTGGCCGGCCGGTCGGTCGGCGCGGCACGGAAAAAGGCCGCGGCCGCGCGCCGCCATTAGCCGGAGCGGATCTATTGTGGGTCGGAGCGGCGCCGGCGGCCGCCGCCACCGACCGATACGCGGACACCCGGGCGGGTGACACGTAAGAGGCTTACCGACGCCGGCAGGAGTCTGATGCAGCGCTCGGAGGCCTTGTCTCGCCCGTCTCGAGATCGTCAATGACGACCTCAGCACCTGACTGGCACGTGGTCTAGTACGCCGTCGAGCCCCAGAGGTTCTGCTGCCGTTCGTTTGTTCCGCGTTGGAACTGACAGCTTTATCAGAGTAGACCAAGAAAGTGACCCGTCAAACACCCGGCCTCGTTCTAAACAGGCCCTGGTGAACACAGTAAAGCCGAACAGGTTCTTTTAGGGGTTTAGTCACAATCACGCACCACACTTTTATAAACTATTGTCAGTGGTATGGTAAGGTATCATTAACCACAAAACTGCGCGTGCTACGAATATTTCATTATGGTGCCATGAGCTAACCATTCAGGCAGTTTTATTCTTCTAAGTCCAGCGCGTCCTTTCCCGTTTGACCTGCTTGCGAGTGAAGATGGCGGAGGGGTCGTTTGCGTGTGATGCAGTGATAAAGCCCGGCTGTGCTGCGCCAGCGGCCGGCTCCCTTCTGGTCACTCCTCGGCGCAACGCGCTGGGTCTGGCCCTCGACCTCATCGCTCGCGCCACTGGTATGACAGCATGACAACATCACTCACAACTGTTCTGCGTGCTTGGTGCACGTGGGTGATTCCCGGTTGTGCCGGAATGCTCTCAGGGTTCAATTAAATTGCATTGGCGTCAGCGTGGAATCAATCCTTTCGTCGCTGTGCAGCTGAAAACCGTTCTGAGCAGAGCGTAGTTTCAAGCCCTTGGCTGACAGCATGAATGAGTCAACACATCAAAATGCGACTAAAAGCTGTATTATGCGACAGCCTGCGAGAAATATAAATTTGTTTATCAGTCTGTCGTAATCTCATTAAACAGGGAGGCCCATTTCAAACAACTCGTATTCTCATATGCACACCCATTGACTGAATCCTGATACTAAATGAATTGTTCATAGACACAAGGCTAGATTTTGCTGAGCCAACTGTAATATCCGAAGTAAAATTGGTCATGACAATAAACATAAAATGAGCAATGCAACGAAAATCATGCACTGTGTTGTAATTTCTTACACCGTCTGTCAGGCTTACATGTGTTCGCAGACTGAATTTTCAGGGTCCGGTCCACTCTGGTACGTGAGGCCTAGAACCTAATCTATCTGCAATCCGGTTTTTCCGAAACACCTGAATCCAGTCCATTCGATCTATCTTAGCATACATCTTGTTGAACATTATCCACCTTAATCCGGTTCCGCCTTTCGGCCTAATTTCACATAAGCTCCTTAATACGCGCCCGGATGGCCCGCTGAAAATCAAACGTTCGTTTGGAGGTCAACTCGACCACCCTGAGATCTAGCTAGAGATACCACATTCACAGCATGGTGGGCTGGCCTGTGTGTAAACTCGCCTGTGTTAAAACTCGAGGTCCTTAGGTTATCATCTAAAGGGTCAAACAAGGCCAAACAAGATCAAACTTCACCTTGGTGTCCAAAGTGCTCCAAGACCTCATGCAACTGCCTCGAATCTAAATATATGTTCCAAGCAAAAAGCCCCCGTTGTTCATTTGCGGTCAGTGGCCTTGTGTGACCCTTTGAAGAAGGCCGTGATGGTCAAAACCTAAGACATTTTTGTGCCTTTTAAAGAAAAATTAAAAAAACGTCAAGGATTACGCTAAGCGATACGTTCCTGAAAGCAAAAGGTTGATTAGAGTCATTTTAAGTCAATTACCCAATCATATTTTATCTTAAGAAGTCCATGGAAAACATATGTTGCAATCTCTGCTATCAAAAAATTTCGCAATCATCACGAGAACTGCCCAAAAAAACTAACCCCAACGGAAAACAGGTTGCTTGACCTCAGTCTAATCTTCATACCTGACCCAAGACCAACGGAAGTCGTCGTAATCCTAAACTAAATTGCCAACCTATCTAAGAAAATATCTCAGAGACGTATAGCTTTGTCTAACACTCCGTTGTTATTGAACCATAAAGCCTAGAAATTGTCTTCGCTGACAGCCATGGCTTGATTTTGAAATCCCATAAGTCAATGACCTTACAAGGAACACATAATTTTTACGCCACAAAAATCCGCTGTTTAAATGCACAGATTTACAAAGCTTGGCGCAGCCGCGCTGTGTCTTCCAAAAATTAGTTGGGAAAACCTTCGGAACGCTCAAGATGACATCCCTCCCCCCCCCCCCCCCATCTCCATCCAAGCGCGTGCTAATAGAACGTAGAGCGCATTCAATATCACCATTTATCGCCATTCTTTTTCATATGACATGTGCGATTTCAATCTTACGTTTCTTGTTTTAGCCCCTTGGTCATAGCCCCAACATATGCGCTTTAAAGAATGGCACGGGATTTATACATACCTGCGATGCACACAGCATTCACTTGCAATCCATCTTCCTGCTACATTTTCTACCCTGGCTTCTACCATACCCTGGCATACATTATTCTACTATACCATACAGCATTCAACAAGTCTTGTTATGCTGTGTTTTGTGATTTGTAGGAGCCAGTTAGCAGCTTATGCGATAACGTTAGGGCAGATGTGGCGCCTATTTCTGCCGACCAATAACGCTTCCCGAACTTGATTTCGTGCGTCATTGTTGCCACACAGGTGTGCAGCCAGATGTGCCCACATTTCCTATACCAGCAATAGTGAAAATGGTTGCAAGCTACCAACTGAGATTGAAAAACAAACTTAAGATATTCGTGAATTCTGTAACAACACTAATAAGTTAGATGTTTTGATTTTTGGACCGGTTAAGTTCCTTGTTGTTAAAGAAAAAGCAGCCGTAAGCAAAGTTCCCATCAGAGGCACCGTAGCGCTCAGCGTTAACCTAGTCCGAGATGCATTCATCATCTATGGTCGCCACAGAGGCCGAACTAGTGCGCCGCGTGCTCGTCTGGAGCCGTCAGGGAGAGAGCCCGATTGGGAGCTTCCTACCCACACCTGTATGCTCCCCACTATAGCCATGTGTTGCGATGTGAGCACACTCACAAATGTTAACTGAATGCAGTACGTCAGTATGTCAGGTAGCTTACGCGTCTCTACATGCCTTAAAATAATAGACTGACTATCGAACTATCATAAATGGTAAGTCATGGTCTCTCATTTCATGTCACCGCATACAATGATACTTTTCAAGCTTTGGAAATAAGACAACATCATATCTCAGAAATAACCAGTGTACTTGTGTGCGATAAAGGCCCTGATGAACTAATAACCCTACTTACTGTACGAGTAAGTTGAGCAGTGTAAACTAGTCCACTTTGTGCTGTGTCGTTTCAAATTTCCAAATCAGACTCAATCCAGTCTGAGGATAAGTCCACGATCCACGAGTTCGCACAATACGTGAAGCGGTTTCTTTTCGCATCATAAAATATGTATCCGCCGAGACATCAAACAAGCATCGTATTGGCGCATCTTCACTGAACTGTTTGGACTGAGAAATGCTGTAGGTTCTTGCAGGAGTGCATCACAAGGATCCGCAGTGCACTGGAATGTACAATTTACAACCGAATGTTTCTGACTGTACAGCAGACATTCCGGGAATGCAACTTGCCGCTAACTGCAAGTAGTATGCATGTTGCTGTCACTCAGGTGTGACCAGCCCGACGAGCTAGAGTTCGACCTGACGAAACGGAGTTCGCGGACACGCGTCTGGAAGCCATGGCGTAGAGCAGAGAACGGTTGTGGGTGCGGTTGCAGGTACGGGCACGGGAAAGAGAGACAGAGACAGTGACAGAGAGAGAGAGAGAGAGAGAGAGAGAAGAGAGAGAGAGAGAGAGAGAGAGAGAGAGAGAGAGAGAGAGAGAGAGAGAGAGAGAGAAGAGAGAGAGTGAGAGACAGACAGAGAGAGTGAGAGACAGACAGACAGACAGACAGACAGACAGACAGAAGACAGACGACAGACAGACAGAGACAGAGACAGAGACAGAGACAGAGGACAGAGACAGAGACAGAGACAGAGACAGAGAGACAGAGACAGAGGACAGAGACAGAGACAGAGACAGAGACAGAGACAGAGACAGAGACAGAGACAGAGACAGAGACAGAGACAGACAGAGACAGAGGACAGAGACAGAGACAGAGACAGAGACAGAGACAGAGACGAGACAGAGACAGAGACAGAGACAGAGACAGAGACAGAGACAGAGACAGAGACAGAGACAGAGACAGAGACAGAGACAGAGACAGAGACAGAGACAGAGACAGAGACAGAGACAGAGACAGAGACAGAGGACAGAGACGAGACAGAGACAGAGAAGACAGAGACAGAGACAGAGACAGAGACAGAGACAGAGACAGAGACAGAGACAGAGGACAGAGACAGAGACAGAGACAGAGACAGAGACAGAGACAGAGACAGAGACAGAGACAGACGAGACAGAGACAGAGACAGAGACAGAGACAGAGACAGAGACAGACGAGACAGAGACAGAGACAGAGACAGAGACAGAGACAGAGACAGAGACAGAGACAGAGACAGATACAGAGACAGAGACAGAGACAGAGACAGAGACAGAGACAGAGACAGAGACAAGACAGACGAACAGAGACAGAGACAGAGAACAGAGACAGAGACAGACAGAGACGAGACAAGACGAGACCGAGACAGAGACAGACAGAGACAGAGACAGAGACAGAGACAGAGACAAAAAAGAGAGATAGGGATATTTATATATATATATATATATATATATATATATATATGTTATGTATTATATTATATATGTATAATATATATATATATATATTATCTGTATATATATGTAATATATATATATATACATATATATATATATATATATATATATATATATATTATATATATTTCTCTCTCTCTCTCTCTCTCTCTCTCTCGCTCTCTCTCTCTCTCTCTCTCTCTCTCTCTCTCTCTCTCTCTCTCTCTCTCTCTCTCTCTCTCTCTCTCTCTCTCTCTCTCTCTCTCTCTCTCTCTCTCTCTCTCTCTCTCTCTCTCTCTCTCTCTCTCTCTCTCTCTCTCTCTCTCTCTCTCTCTCTCTCTCTCTCTCTCTCTCTCTCTCTCTCTCTCTCTCTCTCTCTCTCTCTCTCTCTCTCTCTCTCTCTCTCTCTCTCTCTCTCTCTCTCTCTCTCTTATATATCCTGACGCAGATCAGGTAGAGTCGTGACTCAAGCGCGGTGGACCCACCTGAAATAAAACAGATGAACGCTTAACCAAGGTGGTCCAGCCTACCTGCACAAGGTGTGCAGCTGGTAGAGGAATGGCTCGGGTAAGAGATGGACCTACCTGGCGTAGAGCAGGTAGACGCGTGACTGGAGGGCGCGGACGGTCAGCAGCTGCTCCCGGAACCTGGTCAGGCCCGGCTCAAACTCAACCACGTCTTCCACCTACGCGCACACGGCCAGACGATGTCAGACAGGCTAAGGCAGGCCGGGCAGAAGGCGCGCACCAGCCAGGCAGAGGGCCCAGTACGCCCCCACGCACATCTGCAGCGGTGTGACCATATCAGAAGAACCGCCCAAAGCAGCACAGTCGGGAAGCGCGCACTGAGAGCAGGCCGGTACCATCCCCAGCATGCTTTATTTCAACACTGCGGATGGTGCAGTTCAGTGATTGGCGTGTATACGAATACGGTAAAGGTAAGATTTCAGCGAATTTTGTTTGATGTCCCCATGGTTTATACAAGACACGGCGCCCAGCACGCGCCATTCACATTCATTGTTCCAGCTGCTCACGTCGAGGCCACAGTGTGGGCAGAGATACATATGGATAACCTGGTTTCACAAAGCGAACTTCCTTGCTGCATTTCTCGTTAAAATTGATGAGAGATATGAAGCCGATGGCTTTAACCGTGTCTAGCAAAGGTTATGATTTGTTCAGAAGCCTGCAAGTTTTTATACCTACCGTAATCAAAGTTTTGAGAACTTTCTGCGCCAAGTGTTAACAATAATATTTTAACACGCGCACGGGTGGCCGGCTGGATACCTTTCGTTAGGGTGGGGGTCAACTTGACCCCCTGGTGTCTCAGGAACTAGGTGAGCTAGAGACACCAAATTCACAGGGTGTCTTGACCTGTACGTGAAATCACTTAGGTCGAAGTTTTAGGTTCCTAGATCGTGCTCTTCGGGTCAAACAAGGTCCAATAAGGTCAAATTCCAGATCAGTCTAAAAAAGGACCCTAGAACCTAGATAGCTGTTCTTAGCTAGAGGTCACGTACTTATTTATGGTCAGTGACCTTGCTTGACCTCTTGAAGGTCATGGTAACCAAATCATGCGAGACCGTCTTGAGTTTTGCACTTGAATAAGCGACAAAGATCCCGCTAGACAGTATGTTCCTAAAAAGAAAAAAAAATGCTGAACTGGGTCATTTTAGATCAGTGACCTATTCTGACCTTTGATACGTGCACGGAAGATACATAATCCGGTTCCTGTTATCAATAAACTCGAAATGAGCACAAGGAACTGTTCCATACAGCAAGCCCTAGGGAAATTAAACTGGTTGGTTTTGACCTTAGTGTGACCTTTATACCTGACCCTAGGTCAAATTAATTTCTTCATATCATTGTTGTGTTACCTAAGCAAGTATCTCAGAGCTTATTGCTTCGTTTCACACTCCGTTGTTGGATTAAATTGAATGATTCCCTAGAAACTGCCTTCGCTGAAACCAAGGCCGGACGTTGACTTGCCATAGGTTGGCAATCTTACACGGTACATCTAACTTTTCTTTACGCCAGACGATGCGCTATTTAATTGTCTACATCTATGCAAAATTTGGCGCGGTTACATCGTGACGTTCGGAGACCATTCCGAAAAAACTTTGGAGGCGGTCAATTTGACACCCTACCCGAGCGCGTGTTAAAAGACGTGGTGCAGAATAAAGCTGTCTTGTTCCATGCCCCATGGGGAGAGGGAGGGCACAGCATTGGAAATAGCCAACATTGTAAGCGAATACGAAAATCACTTTTCGACGAATGTGCGTAAGTAGTTAAGTGTGGCATTCTACACGAAGGCTGGCCGACGCTGGTTATGTTCGCCTCATAGTGAGTTTGAACGTATCACTTACAACACGAATTCACATCAACAGTCAAGATCTCGCTGGTACCCAGTCACACGCGAGCCGTCAGCATATATGAAGAAAACTTTTGCTGCGCAATGTGAATACTGATGTTTACATTGGTGATGCAATGTCTCAGTGTACTGGCACCGTTGGAAATTCTTAAATGTGAGAACAAAACTTGGGGATATATACTTCATGCCCCACTGTTTTGTTAGCACTGTACCACAAACCGCTTGCTGGCAGGTGCTAGGCTTGAACCTATTAAGGAAACACAAAAAGTGGCCAGATTTCCCCTCCCCTCCCTCTAGTGCAAATGCTAAGTGAAACTATTGGTTTTATTTCCATAGTATTGGTGACCAATCGATCAATTATCATGTAGCAATCAATCACCAGTTATAAATTACCAATCACTTATCGTTACACTTATCTTTTTCAACCACAGCCTTCTTCATTTTGTCTTTTCTCTCAGTCGAATAATAGACCAATCAACAATCTAGATTCGGCGCACGGTAAGCGAAGCTAAGAAAGTGGTAGAAGACTCGTAAAACCATCAGAAAATTGTAGAGAGTACCATAACTCTCGTGCACAATGCATAAATGTGTACTGAGACCATGTTTCGCGCCTGGGTGTGGTTGTTAAGACCATCTTTCGCGCTCGGGTGCGGTTGGTAAGACCATCTTTCGCGCCCGGGTGTGGTTGTTAAGACCATCTTTCGCGCCCAGGTGTGGTTGTTAAGACCATCTTTCGCGCCCAGGTGTGGTTGTTAAGACCATCTTTCGCGCCCGGGTGCGTTTAGTAAAACCCTAGCCTTGAACGGCATGCCTCCATCACATAATCGCGCTTTTAAACGCAAACATCGTCTTGTTCGAGAACTTGTAATACCATACCTACCATGCCATAATACCATCTCAGAAACTGATACCGTACAAGAAACGCTTGTATCACAGCAGCAGCACGTTTAGTTCAGCAGCAATAATTAGGCTCAGAGTCTTTTAAGACCCCCATTCAGTCGGTGATGATTCAGTTCCACCACTAGATAACTCATAATCACCCCATCTATATGCCAAGGCACGCTATCGCAACAAAAACATACTCTTTGTTTCAAGCCCCGACCTGGCTGGCAATCTTATAACGTCCTCGGTTATGAAGTAATCATGACAATAAAAAAATCAGACCATGGCAATGCATCACATGCATTAAACCACGATACAACGCTGAACGCAAACGCAATTAAAACCATTAAAACAATTAAAACAATTAGTTACAATTAAAACAATTAGTAAAAGTCACGAGCATTTTTATCTGTGAACATCAGGATGTACCGATACGTATTTACAAATATAAGTGCAATAAAAAACAATTTATCTATGCACGATACGCACGCATAACAATGATATTGAAACGCTCGCGATGGCGATGCTGGAATCTGCTTGAATATATCAAAAGGAAGTTTGTGTGAGTCTGTTTTAGACGGATTCGCAACTTTCGAGCTCCGCCACGTCCTACCAGCTCCGGAAGAGTTTGCTGTTCAGGGTTTGTGAATGTGATGGATATATTTGATATGATATTTCAAAATGAGCAAAGAGTGGTGTACGAAGTGAAAATTGGTGTTTATAATTTCCGCCATTCTTCAGCAAGTCATTTCATCACTGACGGAGCTCCCCTGCGTGGTTCAGTGGATAAAGCCAAGGAGAGCGGTGTCGCGTTCCGCTTCACGGCAGCGTACAGAAACACACTGTACTGGTCACATAGACTCGGTTAGAACTTACTTTTTCAATTGAATGACTAATAAATTTGATCTAATTTTACCTCAAATCACCAAACACACAAATCTCATTCTAGGTATCTAGAATAGTAGTTGTGTGTATGGAATGCTCCCGTCTCACAGCTGCACCCAATACAATAAATTTAGCCAGGAGCGAATTGTAAAGAAAAGTAACATTCTTGTATGCCACTGGTACACCGATTTTGAACGGCTACTTGATCTGACCTGACCCATGTGGGGGAACAGAAATGGTCGGTATGGATTTCTCACAGTCTTAACGCTTATTTCCATGCCCTCAACATCCGTCTTGATGTGTAAGCGTAGGTTTTAGCTGCATCTATCGAAACAGCCGTTTTGACATTTCGTGTCCTCTGTTGGCCTTATTTCTCATACAGTGTTTGAAAGTGGAGATCCCAGGAGAGGGAGTTAATTGCCCCCACCCCCGGCCGGACGTGGCAACCTCAGACCCCCGCCCTGGCGCGGGTAAACCTTGTCGAACTCAGTCGTCCCACGTTCACTCGGCAACTCGTTCATAAGACAGGCCGCTCGATATGCCAAGGAGCGTGTCCTGCCGTCGTGCGTACCGCCGGCGTGGGGGGAAGGGACGCAGGTCTTGGTTCACACGGATAGAACGGTCACTGGTCCGTGCGTTGGCGTATGTTGGAAGCAAACAGATAAGATCTGTAGGTTCACCTCTCTCACGGGCTTTATGCGCAACGAAAAGTTTGCACTTCATGCATTTGGCGAGGCGTGGCAGAGTGCGGGTCATTTTGCACGCGAGACACGTGTTCATCCTTTGGGAGGCCAGTAACTACTCTGGTAGCGAAGGTAACTACTTTCAGCAGTCTGGTTTCGTTAACAGCTAGCACCTGACCATAAACTGAAATACAGCATCTCACGCGCGAGATAAGTAAACCCTGCACGGTGGTCAGCAGCACTCGTTGCGGGCGGAAATGTCTCAGGTCGCGGTGACCGACAAAGATGACGATGCATTTTTTGACTACACCACTGACGTATGCGTCCCAGTTCACGTGGCGGTCAACTAGCACGCCCAAGTTTTTTGCGGTCTGGCTCTACCCTACGGTCTCCCTACCGACCTGCACGCTGACAGGAGAAAGTCCGCGGGTGTTGTGCCTGGTGCCAAGAGAAGGAGTTCGGTTTTTCAGACGCTGAGTTGAAGACCATGGACATGGAATCATAATGCTAGGAAGGACAGGGTGGTTTCCATGCATTGGGTTGTGGGAAGGTTGTAGGAGGGAGGGAAACTTGTGTTTGACATCAGATTTAAGGATTTGAGTGTCGTCAGCGTACTGGGTCGCATGAGCGTCAGGCGGGTGCAGGCTGAGGTCAGGTCGTCAGGCGGGTGCGGGCTGAGGTCAGGTCGGCAGGCGGGTGCAGGCTGAGGTCAGGTCGTCAGGCGGGTGCAGGCTGAGGTCAGGTCGTCAGGCGGGTGCAGGCTGAGGTCAGGTCGTCAGGCGGGTGCAGGCTGAGGTCAGGTCGTCAGGCGGGTGCGGGCTGAGGTCAGGTCGGCAGGCGGGTGCAGGCTGAGGTCAGGTCGTCAGGC